TGAGTTAAAAAAAAAAAAAAAAAAAAAAAGAGATCATAAAAAAAAATTGTTTTCAGTAGGATGAAAGCAAAAGGACTTCATTAAAACTTCTTCCCTTTCCTGAGGAGGCATGTACAAAAGAAACATATAATATTAAGAAGCTTCTTTTTCCCCCAAAACAAAAAATTTACCAATCACAATGAGAGATCATCAGGTTAATCGAACTATAGCTATACAACCTCTCAGTCATTGATTGATCAACAGTTATACGAGCTGTAACATAAAATCACTGCGCACACATTACTGTCACAATTAGAAACACATCAATAGACCGGCACACAAGAATATGCAGGCCAAAATTGCACGAACGTAGTAACAAAAAATGAACAAAAGAAGGGAAAGACGAAAACAAATTCACAAGCACACTACATACACAACGCGCACACAACTGAAAAACACAGATTCTAAGCAAACCCCATATCGCGAAAAGAACAAACACCAGGAAGGCAAGATGAAATTCAATCAACCAAACAACAATCGCAATTAGAAAAGANAAGAAAAAAAAAAAAAAACAGAAATCGGACATCGATAGAGGGATCACCCACACGTGTGGAGGCACTCGGTAATGGCGGTGGCCTCGCGGAGGAGCTTGCGGCAGAGGGGGCAAGTCATGCATGGCGCCACCGCCTCCCGGCTCACGCTGACCTTCCGATGGCGCATCGTACTGCCAATTCGCGCCTGAATCAATTGAAGAAAACAATCAGTCAATAACCCACGTAATTCATCCGGTGCATGCGAGGGGCCGGCGTGTGGAGGGGGCGAGGGGTTTACGTCCGTTTTATCGGTCGCGGTCTCGCCGCACCAGCATTAAAAAGCTTGCAGACGAAGAAAAGCCCAGAAATTGTAACAACATAAAAGGGGGGAGATTAACAACGATGATTGAATTTGAAAACGTACGCACGCGAGAGGAATAGCTAGCAGGGCCCAGATGCGAAAAAACGGTTCTTGATTGGGGGTGGAGACTGTAAATCTGAGGAGAAACAGCAGAAAAAGGGCTGAAGGGCTTTGAGGGGCTATGGCGTGCGCGCGATCTGCGTGCCTGTGAGTGTGTATTTGTGTGTGTGTGTGTCGAAATCGAGAGACAGATGAAGAGAGAGGGGGGACAAAGAAGGAGAGAGAGAGGTGTGACTTGTGAGCTTCGCTATTGCAATTTAGCATGTAAAAATTGTCAGTTTTTTTTTTTTTTCTTCCTAAATCTATATAATAATAGTATTTTAAAGGTTTAGCAAGGTTATATAATACAATTTGTCTTGTTTTAGTCTTGTCGAATCATTATACCAACATACTATTTTTATTAATATATATATTTTTTTTGTGTTTTTACGATAGTTACTGTCCATTTGGACTTATTTTATAGACTTTTCGGTTCATTGTATTAATTTTTCTATTTTTGTATATATGTGTTATTTTGCATACTTTTTCCCTATATTGTATTTTATTTATAGAATAATTCTATTCGGATAATTTCTTCGAGTGTCCCGCGACAAAAAGTGTTCTGTCCATATATATGAACATATTTTAAGTGTGCAATGTCCGTGTACATATAGACATGGCCACGGGTTAATCGGCCCGCCGACCCGGCACGGTCCCGCCCCAGACCCGGCATGGGCCCGGCCCGGTCAAACCTGTTGACCACAGATCCGGGCCCGGCTCGGATTTTCAACCGGGCCGGTTCAGGGTCGTTTTTTTTCGACACCGACCCGGCGGGCCGGGCCGGGTCCGGTTCGGCACGGAAAAAATCAATTGTTTTTTAATTTTTCTANCGGCACGGGTTTAGGGCGTGCCGGTTCAGGGTCGACAAAACCTAACCCTTCGGCCTGCCGGGCCGGACAGGGCCCTGAACCGGCCCGCCATTTGGCCATGTCTATGTACATATACATATTTTCAGGAGTGTAACGTTCATATATCTGGACATATTTTCAGAAGCGTTGTAAATGTTATTAATGTAAAATTTGTGGTATGATCAATGTATGCATGTGAATCATGTAGCTTTCGATGTAAGTTGTATCGGCCGTTGAACGGTCCATGCATCTGCATATATTTTTAAAAGCCTAACGTCCATGTGTCTGGATAGATTTTCAACCCCGCTTCAAATTTTTTAAATAGGAACTTGTACCAAATCTTGGAAGACTCCAAGAACACACTTGTACCAATTTCAAGTCTCGAGAAAACACCAACAACTCTTTGTAAATAATTCTTCTTAGGATTTTTCTCCATTTTGCATGTTTGAATTGTTTGATTATATTGATTAGTTGCTTGACCACCATATAGTCTAAATAGATAACCTATAATTTAGAATGAGATAGGATGTCCAATCATGGTTCGAATAGGAATAGAAATGTTTGTAATTGTATTGTTTATGGTTTCATTGCCCTAAAGTACGTACTTGTCTGTGTTTGAATCCGCACGTATTCGTAAAAATATTAGGGAAGGATCTCTAGACTTGTGAGTATGTTATTATTTATACGTTTATGTTCAACCCTTGTTACAAAAATTATTGAGAGCGAACAACTTAAAGTTTAGGTGAGATCCTCAATCTTCAGACCGAAAATTTTTACGTTCAACGTAGATTTAGGATTTGATGGAAGTATTCCTGACTCCTTAGAGTTTCTTCTACTTCTCTATTTGTTTCTTAGATATTTAATTGTGTTCTTAGTCATTCGTAGTTTATAGATAAATTCTCCACACTAATCATGATTAAAATATTTAATACTTTATTTTCTTTTCGTGTGTGATCGACACTAACTTTAGATTTCGAACCGCCTTCTTCGAGAGATCAACTCAAGGTCGGGATTCATTCCGTACTCGGTAAAAATAATAGTTTGCTACAAGATAAATTTTGATTAATAATATCATACTTTTAAAGAAAACAAAAATAGAAATATGATCATTTGATAGTATAAGTATGCATTTTTGTCATATAGTATGACACGCCTAATTATTAGGTTGTCTCACTCAATATTTTGTGTATATAATAATAGTGAGGCTCCTGATCGGCACGCTTCACAGTCAAACAATCATGTGTTTTTCAATAATTACTAGTGCGTAGCCCGTGCGATGCACGAGTACATAGTATTAAATAATAAGTTAAATTAATCATGTGAATAAAAAAGTAAATAATATTAAATAATAATTATAAATTAGACATCTGGATAAAAAGTAATATTAAATATTAATTATAATTTACGTATATTAGTTTCTTGTAAACAGTATAAAATTATCTTGTATAAAAGACCATAAAACACACGTATGTTTCAAATAATAAAAAAGCCTAAAATATGATATAACATATGTATAAATATCTAAAATATTTTATAATATTCTTGAAAAATAAGTCAATTAAATGTTTTCTAAACTATTTTGTAAATATCCAATGTCTAAAAAAAAAAATTCAACATATATATATATATATACACATATATATACATATATTGTATATAATGAAAATATTATGAGTGAATAATAAGTATTATAGTCTAATATCTCATGTGATATTGTATGATTCTCTCTATTAAAATTGTGATTATGACATATGTGATATTGTATGTCTGAGTGATTTTGATTATCTCTTTTATTCTATCATTCTTCTCTTTGTATCAATTGAAAAATTAATCTTGTTACTAACATATGAATCTTCTATCTGTAATTAATCTTAAAAAAATAATGTTACTAACATATAAACCATGTAGGATAGCGAGAATTTGTTGCATATCTAAAAATTTGTTTGATAGAGTGATTTTGTGTCTGTGTCTTCTATCATTTTTACACTCGATTCCATTCCAATATTAAGAAGATATTTGAAAATTAATTTTTTAAAAAATATTGTTATGTAATTGTACCAATTCCATTCCAAATAGTTGATTTTTAAAATCTCATTCCAAAAAAACTGTGACCATAAATATATAGTGAATCTGAATAGATGTTAATGCCATATGTTAATGCAATCCAATTTGTTTTAAAAGGCAACTATAATAAATGCAATTAATATTTCTTTTTTTATTTAAAGTTAATTATAAAATTACTATTTTTAGTATCAAATTAATGTTTATGGCGGGAAAATATTTCTATAATTGATTTATGTTAATCCTTATCTATATATACTAGTACAGAGCCCGTGCGATGCACGGGGAGCACAATTTTAAGGCTATTTATTCAGGCTTATAATTATATACATGAATAAAGAAAAATGTACGGGATATATATAGTACGTGACCCGTGCAAAGCACGAGATATATTACTTGGAGAATATTATGTTATAAGATGCAATATTTAATAAAGTTTATAATACGCAAGAAAATTGTACAATGTTCAATAAAAGTTTTATAATATTCAAGTGGAGTCTTAAAATCTCTTGTACATTAAGACTACTGACAAAATAATATTTTAATCAATGAGTTTCCTTTCCTTGTAGCTAAATTGTGAATGTGATTTGAGGAGTACAACAATCGATATATAGCTGACTTGTTTTTTTCATTGTAGTTTTTTTTCTTTTTTTTTTATAATGAATTTAAAGATATTCTAAAATATAGTAAAAATTAATTTTTTTATTACAATTAGGAATGTTACTAAATATAAACTCTCAATCTATGGTGTTAATCAACGTTTAAGTCTAAAAAATTAGTAATTTTTACCTCTTTTAATCAAAGTTTAAGTCTAAAAAATAATAGAGTTATTATAAAATTTTTTTCTACATCTTTTAAAACATTAAATATGAGCATGTTAGGGCTAGCTTGTAAAATAATTAATATATTATCTCACTAAAATATTTATACTAATAAAAATTTAATTTTAGCATATAAGATATAAGAGAAAGTAACAGTTTTACTTATTGTTGTTCACCATATAATATTTAATTATTATTTTATTATATAATAAAAAAGAAATATTGTTAAATAGTGTAGTAGAATTGTTATAAAATTATATGATTTTTTTTTAAAATATGGATTTAATATTTTTTTTATGATTTGATAATATAACCAAATATATACTTAACTTTGACAAATAAAACAAATAAATACTTTAGTAAGTATTTAATGTATATACTAAATAGGAATATATTTGGTATAATCAAATACCAAATATAATCAAATAAGTCAAAGTGTACATTTTTATTTGATATTTTATTTTTTTATTATTAAAATTTTTTTATTATACTTACCTTTTTAAAATAAAACAAATAAATAAATCAATTAAATAAATAAAATATTGTAATACCAAAATAGTAATAGCATTTAATGCAGTTGACTTTTCTGGATAATAAATGTAGTAAATAGAATTTTCTTTTATATATGTATAGATTGTATAATACGGAAATAGTAATGCAATAAATGTTGTTGACTTTTCTTTATACTAAATCTAGTAAATGGTATACCTTTTAATATAAGTATAGATATAATTACTAGCTAATAACATTTAATAAAACCTATTTAATTTTACCTATGTGGCAATTTAACAATTTTCCCTCCAAAAACCGTTACATCAAAATATTTAATCTTTCATTTAATCATTAAATAATTAATACTCATCACTTCAAAATTACAAAAATCATTTTAAACTTTTGATTAATGACAGTTGACCATATAAAGTGTTGACCATATAATGTGATTAGATGTTATTATTGTTGTTACATTTATTTTTTTAAAAAAAAAATAAAAAAATATATTTGAAATTTCTAAATAAATAATAAATAATTCACAAATAAAAGACGTACCAAAATATACATTACATCCAATCAGATAATTAAACGCAATTTAAAAAAAAATCCAACTCTTTCAATTGTAAATTTGGTCCGC